GTGGTCTTGCCAACGCCGCCTTTCCCGCCAACGAAGATCCACTTTAAAGACGTCTGGTCTAGGATATTCTGAAGCGTTGGCGCCAATCCGTCTGCGTCCGTGTCTCCCGCCATGTCAGACGATCACGAAGCAATCCCAGAAGTGGTGTTGACGACTCCGACCAGGACGATTCTGAACGCACTTAGCCATCAGAAAAATGTGGATCTGCCGAAAACTGAGCGACGTTTAGGGCGTGTCCAGCGCGTACGTCTCTACAGCAACCAGCCGATTCGGTTACCACAATGGTAACTAACATTTTTTGGACATGTAACCTTAGGGTCGTAAAAGACGGACCCCCTACACGTGTTGGCGAGTCGTGAACACGACACGTTTTTTTGCTGCCTGGCGGATTGTCTCTGCCCACGTTTTTTGGTCCCGAAACTTTTCGGGTCCACCTGGCGGTAACATTTAGTAACGACTATGTAATATTTAAAAAAATGTACTCCACAATGTACGCGCTGGACACGCCTTTGCTAGCCAAATTTTAGGGTTGGAGAGGGCCTCGTACTTGGGGGGTGGGAAGGGCAGTGGGTTCAGTTGAACCACCTTTCGCGGCAGCACAGCACGGTTACCACCACTCAGCAGCCAAAGATTGTACTCGCGAAAGCCTTTGTCATGTCGCCAACACATCCATTTCCCTTCGTTTGGCTACAATCACTCGGAGGAACAAATCCGAGTTCTTCGTCTGCTGGAACGACCGCACTGCCCCATCCAAACCAAATGCGAGAACAGTGAAGGCAGAGAATTCCAGCACTTTGCATGCCCCTTCCCAATTCAGAACGCTCCTCGCGGTTCGTGCATCTTAGTAACGCCGTGATGGATCGTTCATCGTTGCTGCCGCAGACCACATTAATGCCGCGAACGCCCTTAGCGTACGTTCCGCTGCTGCTGAGCTTGGGATTATTCACCTTTCTTTTCTTCGCGTCTCTCGCTTACGAATCTCGCGACTCGTGCTCGTCGCTCGACGGTCGCGATGATGACGGGTAGAGCTGCGGGTTTCTGCCGACGCTCTTCTCGCTCGTGTCAAATGAGAGCCTCGCGTTGCACCTTCGGAAGCTGACCGCCAAGCCGCACATCGCGGGCACCCCCGAAAACTTTGAAACTGCCCGCTACGTCAAGGAGAAATTCGAGGTGCGGATTCGAGACTCTATGGATAGGATGTGCATTTAGACTCCACGTTTCACTTGCGCGCATCACCGTAGGGTTCCAGATCCTTTCCTATCAACTCGTATCGACCCCCTCTTACGCCCCCCCCCCCCCCCCCCCCCCTCCCTCCCTCTTCCCCGCATCCCACGGCAGTCGTACGGCCTCCGGGTGAACTACGTGGAACACCCCCGAGGTGACTTCTAAGTCACTTTGAAAGTTTCACATCCCCACCCCCGCCCTCCCCCTCACGTCCCCGCGTTTCACAGCAGTCGTACGGCCCCCGGGCGCACTACGTAGCGAACCCTCGAGGTGACCCTTGACACAGTTCAAACAGCCTAACGTCCCCTCTCACCTCCCCCATCCCCCCCGCATCCCCCTCGCGTCCCACGGCAGTCGTACGGGCTGCGGGCGCACTACGCAGACTACCCTGTGCTGCTCTCCTATCCGCTGCGCCAGTCGCTGCGCCTCGTGCGCCCCGTCGCGCGCAGCTTCTCGCTGCGCGAACAGCCCGTCCCCGGCGACCCGTTTAGCGCCTCGCGCGCCGCCACCGACCCTTTCAACGCGTATTCCGACAGCGGGAGGGTCGGCGGGGGGGTCCGCGGAAGGGTTGGCGGAAAGGGGGAGGGAGGAGAGGTGGAGGCGGAGGCGGAGGGTGAAGGAGCGGGAGAGGCGGAAGGAGCGGCGGTGGTGTATGCGAACTATGGGCGCATGGGGGACTTTGAGGCGCTGGTGGCGGCGAGTGGGGAGGAGCAGGTGAAGGGCACAGTAGCGCTGATTCGTTATGGTGAGCATGCACAATTTTATAATTGTAAATGCTGTTAGCAATCCAGACTCCTTTATGTGAAATCTGAAACACGTTTCATTGCCTGCCCCCAACCAAGTCCGTTCCTCCCATGCTGTTGTTCTCTGACATCACAACTGCTCATCCTTCTGTACCAAACCGGTCTATCAGGTTCGGCATGCGGAGAGGTTCGGCGTGGCAGCAGTGCTGCTGTACTCCGACCCAGCGGACTGTGCGCCAGAGGGCACGGACGAGGCTTATGTGTACCCGCAGAACAGAACCAATGGCTGTCCGTTACTGGCGCCCAGAGAGGCACCGTCTACACAGGTACTAGGCACGGGTGCACAGAGGGCTATGCCGAGGCAATGATGCAATGTGTATGCCCCATAGGCCACGGGTGCAGCGCATGTGTACCAAGCCTGGTGCTGTGCTCTGGAACAGGCACCATCTGCACAGGCTGCTACTGTGGGACTTGATAGCCAGCCATGGTGCAGTGCGGTGATGCCCCGACAGTCTGCCTGGTGCATCAGCGCATGCACGCACGCACATACTGTGCTGTGCTGCGCCCATCCCATCCAACTCCGCTCCTTCCCCTCTTCCCTCCAGGCAAGGGCGACCCAGCCACCCCCGGGTGGCCGTCCCACCCCGGCGAGGAGAGGCTGAGCGATGAGGAGACAGCGAAGAGGCTGCCACGGGGTGCTGCCGGTGGGGTACAGCGTGGCGGAGGCCGTCATGGCGCACATAGGGGGGACGGCCGTGCCGGACGAGTGGCGTGGCGCCGTGCTGGGCGTGCACTATGTGTTCGGCCCGGGACCCGCTGCTGTCGCCATGGAGGTGCAGGTGAGAATTCGTGCGTAAGAGGGTGCGTGCGTGCGTGCGTGCACGCTCATGCACATACATGGTACATGCATCCACCATGCACATACATGGTACATGCATCCACCATGCACATACATGGTACATGCATCCACCATGCATTACGCAGCATGGGTAGGGCACCTTGACTTGATCGGTGCCAGCCATCCCTCCTCTCCACTCTCATCTGTCGCACGCGCATGCTTCTGCATGCTTGCCCTGCTCATCCCCTGCCCTGCTGTGAGCATCACCACCAGATGAACGCCACGCCACGCCACTGTGACCACCGCCAGAGATGGCATTTGAGTCAACTCACTTGCGTGCTTCTACCCGCGCTGCTCATCCCCTGCTCTGATCTGATGGCAGATGAACGCCACTGTGACCACCATCCGAACGTTATCGGCGTGCTGCCAGGCACCCACCAGCCGGACAGGTGCGCCGCTGCTGAGGGCAATGGTGATGCAGAATGCTGGGTGTCTCATCTTGTCTGTGACGAGGCCATTGTTTAGGCGCCTTCAACTCCTGCCAGCCACCCACCACAAGTGAGGTTAGGGCAGAGGGGAGTGTGGAATGCTGGGTGTCCGATTTGCCACCCCCCATCACTGAAGCGAAGCCACCATGTCTGTTGCTGGTGCCATTGCTACCATTGCCACGGCGCCACCCGGAGTTGAATAAGAATTTCATGTGCAGTAGAGCAGTGATGCCGTCAGCATCATGATGATGCATTCTGCCCTCAGGTCAATATACTCACCACCACCACAGCCGCCGCCGCTGCTGCCGCCGCCGCCACCACCACCACCCCCACCCCCACCCCCACCACCGCCGCGACCACCGTTGCTTGCAGGCACATCATTGTGGGCAACCATCGCGACGCGTGGGTGTTTGGCGCTGCGGACCCCAACAGCGGCACCTCGTGTCTGCTCGAGGTATCATGCTTCCTCCCCACTGCTTCCATCCATTCTGTTTCCCTTGCACTGTGCTCCATGCATCAGTCCCTTGCTTCTTGTACTTCTGCATGCCATCAATATTCTAAAAGTTTTTTTAACATCTCAAAACTCTATGCTGGAAGCTGATGTTCCTTGTGAGCGGCTTTTTTCAGGATTTTTTCATATTTGCCGTGTTAACAATCTTGGAGCATGTCACGTTCTGGTCTTCTTGCAATCTTCCCTTGCCAGGTAGCGCGTGCGTTTGGCCACATGGCAGCGTGTGGTTGGTCGCCTCGCCGCTCGCTGGTGTTTGCCAGCTGGGATGCTGAGGAGTATGGATGCGTGAGTGTGACACTGAGGGGGGTGACAATGTGACAGTGTAGGGCGACAGTAGAGAAGGGGGGGTGAAGGAGAGGGGGAGTTGTGAAAAGATGCAATTTTCTTTCGATTCCTCATTTGTCACTTCTCTGGCCTTCACCCCTTCAATGACCACCCCAACCCCACCCTTTCCGTCCATCCCCATCCATCTTTTTCACAACATCATCCGCCCTCCCCTACCAGTTGGGGTCAAGAGGAGCTGATGTTTATTTTGGCTTATTGCCGTGGATGTGGATGTGGCCGTAAGGGGAGGGGACAAGACACGTTGTTTTTGCCACCCCTCGCATTCACGCATTCTTTGCCTTTGCCCTCTCCTCCCGCCCTTGTCACCCATGGCCAGTTGGGATCAACAGAGTGGGCAGAGGACAACGCGGCGGCGGTGCTGGCAACAGCAGCAGTGACGTACATCAACGTGGACAAGGCCGTGGGGGGAGGGGCCTTCCATGCCTCCGCCACCCCACAGCTTGATCACCTCATCCGATGTCGGCAGCCAGGTAGGCACGCTGACCCGTCGGCAGCTAGATACCCGTGATGACGTCAACATGCATGGAGCCATGTGGGCCACGGTCGAACAGCAGTTGGCGATTTTGAGACAGCTCGGTGCTTTCTTTTCAACCTCTTCTCACGCACCCCTTCCCCACCCACCCCACTTCATGCTGTCGCTTTTGAGAACTCTCAAAAGCGACCCCACTTAATGCTGTTCTTCCCCTCTCTCCACTCTCTTTCCCCACTCTCCCTCTCCTCGATTTCCCTTGCTTCCCTCCCCCACTCTATTTTTTCAATCTTATTCCCCAATGCCCCGTTCCTTCCCTCTCTCCATTCTTTTCTCCCACTCTTACTCTCCTCATGCTCTCCCTCCCTTCATCCATTCAAAGCCCCCCCAGGTGGCCAATCCCAACGGTCCAGCTGGCAAGTCGCTATTGGAGGGTTGGGCGGCTGAGCACAACACGTCAAAGCCTGAGGCAAGTTGTTGTTGATGCATGGTGCATGGTGCATCGTGCACCGAGCGAGTGTTATCCAGTGAAGCACAAAGTGTGGTGCTTGAGAGGTCAGAACCGTAGATGAATTTGACGGAGATAGCCTTTTTTACGCTATCGTCAAAACTCCTCTACGTTTTGACGCTTGACACATCCCTGCTGGAAATTTGATGCTGGTTTGACGCTCAGGCAGGCAGGCAAAAGCAAACAGGTGTTAAGGGAGAGGGTGGAGGGGGGGAGGGGGTGGAAGGCTGGAAGTCGGTAAGTAAGGAACCACTAGCGCCCGCATTGGATGGTGTAAAGGGGTAGAAGACATGGCGAAAAACTGGAAATTGCCGCACACCTAGCGACTGAAGGGTCTAAGTCGCTGTTCGACTAGATCCAAACCCTGAAATGAGGTCGTAAACAGAGTAAGGGCCTGAAGTGTGTGACATAGGGTTGGGTTTTCTAGTCGTATTGCGGTGCAGATAGGTGGGGGGGTTGGATTTTGTGGGTTGGCGTTTTGGGGGTGTTGACTCTCAAGTGGAATTGTGGAATCATACGTGTTAACCTCCCTGTAGCATCCTGAAAGCACCTGTTTCTGCAGCGCCCATGCTCTCACTCACATCCCCCATTGCATGTGTGCCTCGTCTCAAAGCTCACCATACTTGTCTATCCTCCACGTGCATTCCCAGAACATGCTGCAGTTGGGGCGGCTGGGAGGCGGAGGCAGCGACTCTTCACCATTCTTGCAGCACCTTGGGATTGCCGCAGCAGACACTTACTTTGGAGGATGTGAGTTTAAGAAGGGGGTGGTGTGAGGTTTGAAGGGATCGGTGAGGAAACAAGGGGTGGGATGGTGTGAGGGTTGTGAGCAGGTGGTTTCTTAGGCTAACCTATCTTGTGTCAAATGTCCCCTTTCCATCCCCCGCCCTTCCTTTCGCCTCTCTCATAGCAACCAGCCTACCCCATGCACCACAGTGTGTATGTATGACACCTACCATTGGATGACCTTTAGGGTGCCTAACAGGTCCTTCTTACCCCCTCACTCGCCCCCCATCATTCCACTCTCCCTCTCTCATGGCAACCAGCCTACCCCATGTATCACAGCGTGCATGACACCTACCATTAGATTGCTTTTAAGTCGAATCTCCTCTCCCTTCCCCCCTCCCTCCCCCACTCTCCCCCCTCCTCCTTTCCCCTCTCTGGCTCCACCAGCCTACCCCATGTACCACAGTGTGTACGACAACTACCATTGGATGGCCAACTTTGCCGATCCACTCTTCAAGCGCCACGTGGCAATCGCCAAGCTCATGGCTGGCGTGGCTGCCAGGCTGGCAGGCAACCACCGCCTGCCCTTCAACTACACCGCCTATGCCGTCCACCTGGAGCATGACGTGTCTAGGCTGCAGGCTGACGTGGCAGAACGAGGCGCCTCATCATCTCTCTCCGTGGCGCCACTCTTTGCGTCTGTCTCTCACCTCCTAGCTGCTGCTCAAAGCATTGAAGCGGAAATTGAGGTGTGGAAACTGGTATTCCATGTTCAGGTGTGGTGCACAGCGGTGGGGTGCACAGCGGTGGGGTCCACAGCGGTGCTCGGGGCATTGAATCTGCTCTGCACCCCTCAATTGTCGCCTCGTGTCGTCCCTCCCATCCCACCTTCCATCTCGCGCTTCCCTCACTTGTTTCCTGCCAGCCTTCTTCTCTTCACCCTTTCCTTCCACCTCTCACCCCTCCCACCCAACAGCAACCTTCACCAACCCCACCCCACACCCCTCAAATCCATCCCCTCCCTCACCCCCCTTCCTTTTCACCGCCAGAGCGCAACACAGCGTCCAGCAGCAGCGCGTGCAGGTGCACGTGGGGGAGGGCGTATCCTATAGAAGACGCATCCGGGAAGGGCGCCAACTGCCTGGCGTCCACCCCGGCGTCAGATTAGAATCATGCTTTGATTCAAAAGCTACATACTCCGCCATTGCTTTTATATTTCTAGGGGAGCGGCATCCCACACTCCTCCCGTCCTCCCCCCTCTTCCCCCCTTCCCTTTTTCAATCCCCACAGGCAATCGAAACGAGCAGCACTGGGTGCCAGTGCAGGGGGGGAACGTGTCCCATGGAGGGCGCATCTGGGGAAGGTGGCAACTGCCCGGCGTCCAAGGCCCTTGACGGGGTGAACGAGCGCCTCTTTCTGGCGGAGCGGGGGTTCCTGGACGGGCGTGGCATCGGGCCTCACTACACGTGGTTCAAGCACCTGGTGGGTGGGACGGTCGTGTGGTATAACATTCTCTAGGGGTGGCTGAGTATCGATGGGTTTGCTGTGGTGCATGCGAATTGCACTCAAGTGTGGGTCAAAGGAGTTGGAGGGGTTGAATGGGTGTCGGTTGAGCAGGGGTTCCTACACGGGCATGGCATCGGGCCTCACTGCACGTGGTTCAAGCAGCTGGTGGGTGGAAGAATGATGCTACAGCGAGGCGGGTTAGTGGTGTGACATGCATGTGGAGTGCGGTAAGTCATTGTTCACCAGCACCTTTGTCATTGTGCGGTAAGTCATTGTCCACAACGGACCGTACTACACGTGGTTCAAACACCAGGTGGGTGGGACGGGGAAGACTCACGGTGTGAGGCAGTGAAGGGGTGGGTGTGTGTCGGTGGGTGTGTTGTGGTACCACCCAGTTGGGAAGGGTTGAGTGGGCGTCCGTTTCTGGCGAAGAGGGGGCTCCTGGTCGGGCACGGAATTGGATCGCACTACAGTTTATTCAGGCAGGCATCTGGTGGGTGGGAGGGAAGAGTCACGGTGTGAGGTAGAGTGCGAGGGTGGGTGAGTTTTGAAGCACGTCAAGCACCTCTTGGTAAAACGACTCGATCATAAAGTGAGGTACAGTAGGTGCTTTGGCCGGGGGTATGCTTATGGTGGCATGTGTGTGGAATGGTGTATTGTTCACTATGCATGGTGTACCATACATGGTGTGAAGTGTGTGTGTGTGTGTGTGTGTGTGTGCGTGCGTGCGTGCGTGCGTGCGTGCGTGCGTGCGTGCGTGCGTGCGTGCGTGCGTGTGTGTGATTTTTTTTTTTCTCAAAAGTGACTCACGTGCAGTCTACATAACGATTATAAACACTCCCTAATCCAGTTTCAGAAAGTCCCCGATCTCCTTTCGTTTCCCAACCATCCAGGTGCACGGGCCCGAGGAGAATGACAGCGACACGGTGTGTGTATGGTCTAGAGAGAGAACTACCGCTAGACGCTGCCGGGTCCAAGTTCAATCAAGATGTAAACCAAGGTGTGCTCCTTGAACCCCGTCTTCAAGACTCATCTTAAATCTCCTTTCCTTTCCCAACGCCCCCCTGGCAGGTGTACGGCCCTGAGAAGGACAACGTCTATGCCACGTCACCATTCCCGGGCATCCGTGATGCCATTGCTGACGTCATCAAGAGCAGCGCCTCTAAGGGAAATCTCGAAGATGGGGTGGGTGGTGCGGTGAAGGGGAGAAGCAGTAGTGAGGGTGGGGAGGAGTGGAGTGCGGTGCAGCATGAGATTTTCCGGGCGGCACGGGCAATTGAGCGGGCGGCGAAGATCCTCAAGGGGCAGCTGCTGTGAGTTGGGATGTGCAGTACGGTGCTGTGAGATGGTGTGCAGTGCTGTGAAATGGTGGAGCTGTGTCACAACGTGCACAACGTGGTTCGTGGACCGTGGCACAACGTGCCGTGGACCGTGGTGCAGGGCCTGCTCTTGGTGCAGGGCCTGCTCTTGGTGCAGGGCCTGCTCTTGGTGCAGGGCCTGCTCTTGGTGCAGGGCCTGCTCTTGGTGCTCACACATGCTTCGCCATGCGAGTATTAGAGCCCCCTGTGCTCTATGGTTCAGGGTAACAGGCGTCAACAGTGCTTCCATACAAGCACTGCCATGGATAATGGTTGGTGATGGTGGTGATGGTATAGTTGGTGGTGGTGGTGATGGGTACTTGGTAATGGTGGGTGATTATGGTGAACGGGGTTGTTTTTGTTATGATGTTTGTTCACGCAGGTATGTGCACAGTGTGTATATGTATATTTTTCTCAATAGAGTTGCATCAACAATCAGCAACAAGTGCCACACCCAGGCAAAGCCTAAGACTTCAACGGCATCTGTGTCACACCCTTGGTGCTGATTCTTGATGCGCTACACCTAACATCGTCTCTCTGCTACAACCTATTCCCTCCTCAGAGATGAGACGCTGTCACACAGGCGTGCATCCGAGGTTGATGACAATGCTACCCCTGGTGAAGAGCAAGAAGCCAGGCAATGATACAAGAGGACAACAAGAAACACACAAAGGTTAAGAAAACCATGTAGCCGGAGTGAGGATGTTGCAAAATACTCGAATCGTTCAGTACTAGGAAATTTTCGGGTGTGAGAATTTACCGATTGGTGTGCATGTTGAAAGCCTTGGAGTTGGAGTAGGCCCAGATCATGTTGTTGTTACCCGTGTAACTCACAGGACTCAGAACACCCTTGCCTGAGCGAGTGAACCTGAAATGAGGGGTAACGCATCATGGCACGTTAGAAACTATGAGGAAAAGAACGCCGCGTGCGTTAGCGCATACAGTCCCGCGGCGAGAACAGATGAAACTCACTTCACAATCTTGCCACCATCAGCAGTGGTTTCCACCGATTTTGCAGAGAGCTTCAGTGCCGCCGCAGTTGACTTCTTGATCATATTGAAGGCCAAGGTCTTGCCCTTCATAGTGTAGGCCACAATGGTGTTCGGTGCTTTCAGATTCCCCACCACCGCATCGGCGGGAGCCATGAGGCCGGCTTTCTTCGTCCAACCAATGGACATCCAGCCCGTCTCGGCGCCGCTGCCGTGCTTCGCCTCGAGCGCAGCGATGATTCCATCGTTCTTTGCGGTGATGTTCCAGTGCAGGAGAAACAAGCTTGCGGGGGAAGCATGGGAGAAAGGGAGTGAGACATTTATCTCGGCGCCTGAATGATCATTAGAAAGAACGGGAGTACTTAAGGGAGAAAAACTGATTCGAAACAGTCACATACCCGTCAGGTGTCAGTTGGACAGATTTGGCGTATGGCGCGAGAGTCGACTTGGTGCAGGCGGCTGCAGCGGGCTTAACGGCCGCCGTGCCAGCGTAGTGTCGCGCCAAAGTGCTGCTAGCCATGGCGAGGATCAGAACGGCGAGCGACGTCGCGAGGAAGGAAAGCCGGGCCATTATAATAAAATCTATGCGAGATGGACACGAGAGGCGAAGATGTTGGAGGTCACGGTGATGAGCTGAGTTGCTGAGATTGTTCGATGAGTGCTGATGACTGTCGGCCTAATACGCATTTGGGAAGCTTGTTCCTCAGCTTTGGCTTGGGATGTGAGTGCGAATACACGAGACGCGATTTCATCAAATCCGCGTTTCGTCGCCAAACGAGAATTCACCGAACCATTACACAAATGTGTTCTTCAACATCATCACCGTTCCCCGCACCTTCAAACCGATCAGTGTGATCAACCAGCACGCACATTTGCTTTTGGGCACCGACCGAGCCCAGCCTCGCTGCGGCGCGTTTCCGCTACCCAGAAGAGGCTTCGCAGAATGACACGTCACTTGGCGCGTGATCAGTCATGCGCTGTCACCGAACCACTTGCCCTTGTACTGTACACCTGGTCGCGTTCCACTAGTTTCAACGTGCGTCGTGTTCGTTGACGTGGCTGTAACTTGTGTGTTGGGTGTTCCCTCCGCACCACATGCCGACATCACCAGCAATAACCTTCACCGACAAGCCGCCCAAGTTTAGCCTCGTTATTTTTGACTGGTTTATTGGAATGCGTTTTAGATTCATACGAAACCCACGCTTTTATAGCATTTCACGTTAACACAAAATGCCGACATATCCACAAAATATGATTGGCACGATATCACGAATATCCGTGATTTTGTGATTGTGTTTTATTTCACATTTACCGTGATGACACCGGTCTCGGTTGGCGGAGGAAATATAGTTTTTTCCGCCATAGCGAGTATTGTTGAGCTGAGAAAAGCCCTTAGGATCGTTTTCAAGACTAAAGACTCAGAGTAGTGATGTATTAGCGGAAGCGTATTAGTGAGCTGATTGAACCACCTTGCACTGGTATGTGAAAACAATATAAGTTGATAATAACAAAGAGATACAAGCTTTTATATGATTACAAGGAATACGAAAGGTTTAACTCACTGTAACTGCTGTTGCGGTTTGATACAGCGACGACTCGGGTAACTGCTCAATATCGAGTCAGTTATGTGTCCTTCCTGTCGCGCTGCCTTCGGCGAGTCAAAGGTCGCTGACCTTTGACCTTCACTCAACCTCTTGCTGTTGTCTCTCTGTCAACCGCTTTGGTTGACTCGCTGTTGCTTCGCTTCACTTTCGTTGTAGTGCTCGACACATCAGAAGCGCGAACTATATGTTTCCAACACTCCCCTTCGCTTCTGGAGTGTCGTCGCCTTCGTTGCTGGTGACGTGGCCTTGTCCAGTCAGCAGCATGCAGTACTCGAACTTCTGCTTTCTGAGTTTCTTGGTCAAGTAGTCTGCTGCCATCTCGGACGTGGGGCAGTAGGATATCTCGAGTCTTCCTTTCTCGATCTCGTCCTTCACGAAGAAATATCGCAGGGCGATGTGCTTCGTTCGGTTCGCGAACCCGTTCTTATTCGCTATGCGAATTGCCGATTGGTTGTCGCAGAAGAGAGAGAAGATGGGTAACTGTGCCAGCTTTGCTTCTTCCAGTAGTTCGCGAAGGTACAGTCCTTCCTTGGTGGCTGAGCAGAGTGCTATGTATTCAGCTTCAGCAGAGGAGAGAGCAATAAGTTCTTGTTTGCTCGACTTCCATGAGATAAGACCGACGGGCTCGAGTCGGTAGATGTAGCCTGTGCGCGATCGCCTATTGTCTAAGTCACCAGCGTGGTCAGCATCCACGTAGTGGATTAGTTTAGGCGTCGTGGTTCCGGTTTTGTCGTAGGTTAAACCAACAATCGGTGTGCTGACGAGGTAGTGCAGTGCGCGATCAAGTTCTGCCATGTGCTCTGCTTCGGGCTTCTTGAGATAGGTGGCGAGTTGGCTCGCTGAGTATGACAGGTCCGGTCGGCAGGTAACGGCTGCGAAGGGTAGGCATCCCAGCTTTCGCTGGTAGTCGCGTATGCAGGCAGGTCCGAGCGGAGTGGAGGTTTCCTTGTGATTTCCGGCGGTGTAGCGGTATGGCACGGAGATAGTGGCTGGGGTTAGTCCGAAGCGTTTTGCGATGGTGTCGGCGTATTTTGCGGTGCTGAGGTAGATCGCGTTCTCTCCGTCTTTTATGTTGAGTCCCAAGTATTGCGTTACGGTAGAGGAAACGGTGAGTGTGAGGTCCCGCTGCAGCTCCCCTTGGAACCAGGTGGTGATGCTGTCGGTGGAGCCTATGTAAAGCAGATCGTCCACATAGACGATGAGTAGGATGTACTCAGCGGCTTTTGTGAGACGGTACATCCCCTGGTCATGTGGCAGTTGTCGAAAACCGATGCGGATTAATCGGGCGTGTAGGCACTGTTGCCACAGTCTCGGTGCTTGCTTGATGCCGTACAGGGACTTCAGCAGTTGACAGACTTGATTAGGGTCTGTGTCGTGTGGTTGCTCGGCGAAGATCTCGGCGTCGACGGGAGCGTAGAGGAACGCGTTGGCCACGTTGATTTGGCGGAGCTTCTTCCGCTTCATGGCAGCTATTGCGAGAAGGATTCGCAGAGAGGTATGTCGGCTGACCGGCGCGAAGGTCTCGGTGAAATCTCGTCCGTGCAATTGATCGAAGCCGCGAACGACCCATCGTGCCTTGAATTTGTCAATTGTTCCGTCGGCTTTCGTCTTCACGCGGAAGACCCACTTTCCCGTGAGGATAGTTTTGTTGCGTGCCACTTCGATGGGCACTATCTTCCAGGTGTTTCTGTCTTCCAGCGCCTTTAATTCCCTGTCCATGGCTTCGCACCATTTTGTCAGAACATTATAGCTTATGCTGTTGTGTAGGCTATAGTGGGGTATCCCATAGGGGGTACAACCAATTAGGGTTTCATATTTGTACTCACTTCATTTCATAGTTCACTCATTCTTGTTCAAATCTTCTCATGGTATCGAGCAGGTTCCCCCTTGGGAACTGTGCTTAGGGCCCACCACATCGATTTTTTTTCCTGCCCGAAGCGCGCTCAGCCCGAGTCGCGCTCCGGGCCCTCACTTCGTCGAGCCGCCCTAGCGGCCCTGCACTGCGGCCCCGCCGCCTGTCTTCGCGGCCCCGCCGCCTCTCTCCTAGCGGCCCCGCCGCCCTACCTAGCGGCCCCGCCGCCCTACCTCGCGGCCTCGCCGCCCCATTGCGCGGCCCCGCCGCCCTACCTAGCGGCCCCGCCGCCCCATCGCGGCCCCGCCGCCCCATCGCGCGGCCCCGCCGCCCTACCTAGCTGCCCCGCCGCCCTACCTAGCGGCCCCGCCGCCCCATCGCGCGGCCCTGCCGCCCCATCGCGCGGCCCCGCCGCCCCATCGCGCGGCCCCGCCGCCCTTCCTCGCGGCCCCGCCGCCCCATCGTGCGGCCCCGCCGCCCTACCTAGCGGCCCCGCCGCCCTTCCTCGCGGCCCCGCCACCTTACCTGCGGCCCCGCCACCTTACCTGCGGCCCCGCCCTTACCTGCGGCCCCGCCGCCCTCTGCTGCGGCCCCGCCACCTTACCTGCGGCCCCGCCGCCCTCTGCTGCGGCCCCGCCACCCTATCTGCGGCCCCGCCACCCTACCCGCGGCCACGCCGCCCTTACCAGCGGCCCCGCCGCCCTTACCTGCGGCCCCGTCACCTGCTGCCCAGCCGTGCCGCCCTGCAGCAGCACAGCCGAGCCGCCCAGCAGCCGAGCCGCCGAGCCGCCCAGCAGCCGAGCCGCCCAGCAGCCGAGCCGCCGAGCCGCCCAGCAGCCGGGCTGCCCAGCAGCCGAGCCGCCCAGCAGCCGAGCCGCCCAGCGGCCGCGCCGCCCAGCAGCCGAGCCGCCCAGCAGCCGAGCCGCCCAGCAGCGGAGCCGCCGAGCCGCCGGGCCGCCCAGCAGCTGAGCCGCCGAGCCGCCGCGCCGCCCTCCTTCAGGGCCGCCCGACCTGCCCAGTCTGGTGAGCACAGCGCCTTTTCACTGCACTGTCCTCACCCTACTGTTTGCGCTGCTAGTCGTCTAGGGTCATGGCTACCCCTAGTGTTCTCGCCTTTGACGCTGAGGGTAGGGCCATTGACTTTGAGGTCTGGGTAGATGACCTGCAGCTGTTCTTACAGTGCGATAGGGCAGACGGCCTCTCTCTCTTTGACCTCACCTCTGGCACCTCCACTGCCCCTGCTGCTGATGCTGACGCCACTGTTCGCTCCCTGTGGGCCACGCGCGACGCTGCTGCACGTCTTGCTGTGCGTCGCCACCTCCCTACCTCCGAGCGTGCGCACTTTAGTCAGTACAAGAGTGCTCAGACCTTGTACGACGCTGTAGTTGCGCGCTACTCCTCCCCTGCCACTGCTGCACTGAGCCGTCTCATGCTACCGTACCTCTTTCCTGATCTTGCTGCCTTTCCCACAGTCACTGACCTCATTACGCACCTCCGCACTAGTGACACTCGCTACCGCGCTGCACTCCCTCCTGACTTCTGCGCCAGGAATTCCCCCCCCATGTACATCACTCTTTACTACATAGTCACTCGCCTTCCTGACTCCCTTCGCGTAGTCAGGGACCACTTTCTCTCTGTCTGTCCCACCACTCTCACTGTTGACCTCCTCGAGAAGTCCCTCCTAGCGGCCGAGAAGAGCATAGTCGCTGTAGGGGCCTCTCGTGGTGACCCGCGCACCCCCATCTTTGAGGGGTGTTCCCCCTCCCCCCTTCTGCCCTCTGTTGCCTCTGCTGCTGCGGCCGACCTCCTTGTTCTTGAGTCGGTCGG